TGATGACCCCACCTTGATCTTGCAAATTCCTCTGGGGATGTTGCTTTACTTGCCTTGTCACTTTTTGCAATGAGAGGGAGATAATAAGAGTTACTGTCTGGGTTACTATATGTTTCTCTCCTATAGAGGCAAGGGATACATATGAAGAGCATTTGAAAGGCCTTTGTAAACAGTATCTTATTTTTAGAGCTCCTTGTAACATTAATATGTACAGGTAACAAGGAAGTCCGTAAATGTCTTTTGAATAGAGAACGTGATGGAAGTCTGTTTTGACAGTCCATAATCTAGAAATGTAAGTTCTATCTAGAAATTATTCCTTTCTTGCATGAATACTGATAGGATTTGACCACTTATCTCTGTTAAACCTGCACTGACATTTGGTACCCATGTTATAAGCAGTAACATGTTGTTGTAGGTGTCAATATATGCAGAGGCTATATGCTGTAGTAATTTGGGCATTTTTTTCTTTTGAATATTTACATTGATAAATAATACTATTTGACTTGTTCACTGTAAATCCCCAGAGTCTCATTGTTATGCTCTGCCTTATAATGTGCCCAGCAAGTGACTGAATCCCTGTATTACAGCCTCAAATGACTTGTTCCAAACAGCATTAGTGTGACTGCTGAATTGCTGCTCTGTCTGCAGAAGCAGCAATGGCAACATGCAGATGTTCATAACTTCAGTTCAGTGACATCTCTAATGATCTACAAGGATGGCTCTTGCAGGCTGACCTGTCTCTCTTGCGGTACGATTCACATCCATTTCAGTGGCCAAGCCTGCAGTGGGGTATCCCTGCACGTCTCTGAAAGTGAGAGACTGGAGCTGGGCTGTCTGAGCCCATTTTGGGGCCTGCCACTTAGGCTAATGCACTTTCTGCTCTTCCACAAAGTGTGGTGGGCCTGGCTGGAGTGCTTTGCTAAGGGAGATAGATGCAGCATGACGTAGCAGCGAAGGCAAGCTAAATGTTTGGATCCAGTTCCAAGCTGAGCGTGACAGAGGTCAGCGTTTTCTTTTCCTCTATTCTTTGTTCCTCCTTTCTGACGAGGGTGTGATTCAACCTGTCTGAGGCTGTAGTACTATAGGATGGGTGGATGCTGGTTTCTGTGGCTGTAGAGGGAATTCACCCAGGACAGCAGTGATCACAGGTTGGTCCTTTCTGAAACTTTGTATCAACTCTTAATGATGCTACCTGGTACAGTTGTTGGAAACAGGCATTGGTGACATCAGTCTGGCAAGTCCATCTATTTTGAAAAACTTAGCTTCAGAAGGAGTTTATTTAATGTGCATACATGGGAAACTGCCTCCATACCAGTGGTGCTGTATCTGTCAGCATAAGCAGATACATTTGGATAAAAATGTCTTTCACACAAAATAACAAGTAAAGAACCTTCCCTCCTAACTCTTTTCTTTCATAAGTGATAATGGATTTTTTTTTTTCTTCAGAGACTTACTTTCACGAATTCAGATCTCTGCACACAGTTTTGATTCTTAAAGGAGTGCTTTTAATATTTTTTTAACTTGTTCTGATATTTTTATCGGTGGCCATGTCTACCACTTTGGTAGAACAGATGCAGTCCCCAGGAACTTCATTTCTAGAAGCTGTTTGCCATCTTAATAAATTGCTGTTAGGTTGTAGATTTTGCTACCTGTACTGTTCATGGAAGCAAATGAAAATACAGATCTGTTTCTAAAACACTCATCCATTACTTACAGTAAAAATAAATGTGATAAATATTGCAAAAGATATATTTAACTGTTACTTTTATTGCCTGGCTGTATATCAGGCAGTTCCTTTTAGCTGTTTTGATTTAGTTAAGACTTGTATTTTAAAATGTGCCTCATGAAGGATTGTAGATAACTCCAAGTTGTCAACCTTTTCCTCCAATTGTGCATGCTGGGAACTACTACCCTAGAGGGAACGCATGAGAATAAAATCCAGGGTGATGTTCAATATTACAGTGTTTGGGGGTTTTGCAATGAAAGTACACTTTAGTGCTGGATTTTTTTTTCAATGTTTAGTGAGGCTCCTGGTCATCTTTCTGAGCAAGCTACGAATTTTGAGAGGATGAGTGATTTTTGACCAAGCTGACCAGAGCAATGAAATGTTAAATCAAAGGATTGTGTCAGGCTGCCTAGGGAAGTGGTTGAGTCACCATCCCTGGAAGTATTTAAAAGACGTGTAGATGTGGCGCTTAGGGACATGGTTTAGTGGGCATGGTGGTGTTGTGTTGACGGTTGGACTCAATGATCTTAGAGGTCTTTTCCAACCTTAATGATTCTATGATTCTATGGTTCTAAGGTGGCTGTCGTACCAGCAGTACAGTGAATCCCACCGTCTCTTCCCCTCCCTTTCCCAGTCTTCACTTCAGATCATTGTGTGCTAGTATGAAGCTGTATGTAGGCATACTCATTGCCTGTAGGTTGATTTGTCAGATTATCATTCTGGCATAATCCACCATGTCCACAAAATAATGCATGAAATTCAGGAGGACAGTTGAAGTAAGAAAAATCCTCTCTAGGTATGTAATCTGAAGATTTCGTAGGTTGAAATTAAGAAATTAAATCTTAAATTCTTAAGTACGTAGCGTTCTGTCAGAATACTGTACAAGGAACCAAAAGTTAAAGATATAAAAGCTGGGCAGAGATTAGAAAACAAAACAAAAAACCTAGCCTTTTTTGTCAGAAAATAGCAATTCAGCTGGAAAGATTTTGTTTTCAGTTATTATCTGTTCTGAGCCTTTGAAAAGGCTTCCAAATATTGAATTGTTTGTTTTTTAAAGAAAAAAATGTTTAAGATAACTTCTTTGAGAAAATATTTTATTTCACAATTGAAGCAAAACTTCTCAAACATTGCCTAAATTATTCTGAGAGTGAGAAGGTTGCAATGTTTTCAAGATACTGTGGAATTTTTTCACTTGGTTTAGAATGTGAAATTTCTGGACTTTTCAGCTTTTGGATGAGAAAGTCATGAGATGTCCAGTTCTAATTATGTAATTACGAAATACACATTTAATGAAAAACAATTCCAGTGTGTCACGCAGCATGCTAGTGCTGCTTTGGCTGTGGAAGCTTTCTGGCAAATTTTAATTCCGTGCAGTCTTTTTCTTTGACATTTCTACTGTTGTTCTTTTCCTGCACTTTCAAAATGGAAAAGCTTAAGTCTTCAGTTATTTTATATCTGGATATAACAGAGGTCTGTTTACTCCTGCATATGCTATCATTGTCTTGGATTTGGCATTGCTTCGCACCAAAAGATTTCAGTGTGATAATAAACAGGACTGGACTGAATATCAAACTACAGACCAGTTTCAAATTGGAATGGGATATTTTTTTCTCTGGAGTGAAGGAAAACTCCGTGTATGGCCATCAGCACATAAAGATGTTCCTGACCAACTCTGTAGAAGTTTTTTCAGAACAGGAGAAACATCTTCCAGTGTGTCTGAACAAGGTCCCAATTCATATCAAAACTCAAACGTAGACGTCTTCTAAAAGATGAAAGAACAAGTGCTCCATACATCATACTTTCCTTTATTGTGTCCCTGTTGTCGTTAGAATAATCTCATGCTATTAAAGAATAAACTGAGAAGCTTACCCTGTATAAACCAAATTGAGCTCTTATCTTCCTTCAATTACATTGGATTAGTAAATTAGAGTAGATTAGTAAAATCCTTCTACGCTAAGAAGCTTAAAAATGGAGGTAGATAATTTATTCAAAAAAGTAATTTCCTACTTATATTGTACAGGGAAAGTAGTGTGCTTGAAGTAGATTTTGGCTTATGTGTTGTAGTTTTGAGTTTGGGCTAAAAACCCAACTGTAGTAGGAAAAGAATAGAGTTGTTAATGAGTGATACAGTCTGTATGCAGTGACAGGGTTTTGGCCTCTGTTTTCAGGATTTACTTGCAGCGCTGAAGCCAGCCTGTTCTGTTCTGTGCTATGAATTCTGTTTTGCAGTAACAAATGTTGTGGTGAGTTTCTGGGGGCTGAATGTTGTGACCAAGCCGTATTTATCTCTCATAGCTAGAGAGGTTTCAAAACCAAAAGCAAATCTGTTCTGTGTAATCAAAGGCTTTCTTGGGTGGGTCGAGAGCTCTCACAATAAAGGTTCATCACAGTGTTCCTTATTGCAAAACTCTGGAGCAGCAAACCTAAAATACAGCAAGCTACATGTGAAGTGCATGTTAGTCACTTGGGGGGGGAGAGTTTTGTTGCTGGCATCGATCTTGGAATTCGTACCACAATGCACAGTTGGTTTCAGCGTCAGGAAAATTAATCGCTCTCTGGTAATTTTGTGACATCAGGAGAATAGTGTCTCTAAGGATGTGTTTGAAGAAACTCTTTTGAAACACTTTATGTCGTTTAAAACAGTGAACACTTTTTCTGTAGAAACTGCTTGTTAATGCTTAGTTTAACTACGAATGACCTTCGCAAATACTTTTACTGTTACCGCACAGTCCTGAACTGCAGAAACAGTGTTTTCTCGAGGCTGAAAGTTTGGTTGCAGTTTTTTTCTGTGGAACTTGGACGTTATATTCCTCACAGCTGCATGTCATCATAGCAGCAGCCCAGCTCACAAAGGACATGGTCTGTTATTCTGCCTCTTCCTTTGCCCTATAGCAAGTGCCTAAGTTATCAAATAATGGACGTGAAGGGGAGATTGTCTTGAGCCCCAGCAATTCATAGTTGCATTAAGCCCTCTTGCTGTAGGATGTGTCTCACACAGACTTTACCTATTCTTAGTCAAACTGTATATATTGTTCATTGTTTATAAAGTGTGTGTCTGCCTGGTTATTTACCCAGATTTGGGGGGGGAGTTGTGTCATTCACAGTGAGTTGAGAAAGCTAATAGTTTTTCAATCATTTGACTCCTAGGATGTCCTAGGTATATTAACTGTCAGAAACTGTAACTGTGTTCCCTATGCCCAACATTCTGCACCTGATGGGGAAGGAGACAAGGGTGGAGAGCAAAACCTTCCATTCTACTGGTGCAGTTCCTGAAAGGGTCACTGGTTACTTGGCTTCTTAAAACCTGCGTGTTGAATATTCCATTGTCATCTTTACCTTGGTGACAGCTCAAACTATGGTGCTATTGCTGATGACTTCATATTTAAATATGCTCCTTGTCTGAGAGAGACTGACTTATTTCCATTCTGTTACTACAGTAATCACATAACCTGTTTCTCTTTTTGTAGTTTCTGCAGTCTATGATTCTACCCTCAATTTTAGAAATAATGAGAATCCAACATTGCTGGGAGTTCTAAATGGAAAGAAATATCATGCTGATTTATATGTAAGGCAAGTAATCCATATTTTAATTCCTTTTTGGCTTACAGAAGTGTGTACTTGCAGTCACAATTGCACAAGTAAGGAAATATTTTCAAGTAGGTAATGGATAGCAAATCTCTACCAACCTGGCTTCGCAGAACTGCAGATAAAAACTCACATGGGATGGGAAGGGTTTCTTGTAAAGTTCTGTGACTGTAAATATGTGGGGACCCTATAAAGCTCTACAGGATTTTTTGTTTGTTATTTTTTTTATTCACTTGTGTGTCTATTTGTCAGATCAGCAGCAACAGTGGGGCCTCTTTTCACTCACTTGGCCAGAATACCAAATGTCTTCTAAGTGTCCAGATGGGGTGGCTTTACACCTGTCTCTGCGCAATAGTTCCCACTCAGGTGGAGGCCAGGCTCAGGACTGTTCCCATCTCTGTTTGGTGTAGTTGTTGATGTATTTGACTGCTGCTCCCTCCCTACCGAGAAGGGGGTTGTTTAATGAAAAAATAATTACCTGGATTCTGTATCATTAATATTTCTATCAGTGATGAGTACCCCAAAGGCTTCCCATAATCTTAATGAGAATGGGCCAATTCCAAGGCCCTTATTCGCAGGCCAGGTTCTACTAGCAGCACCATGCTGCAGGCACTCATGGTATGTGATGGATTAGGGTTGGAGCATAGGAGCCTAGAAGTGATCCCACAAGTGATCAGGAGTTCATCATAACCCCATTATAGCTATAATTGGCTGGTCCAATTTGTTTATCTTGGGTACTGACATGAAGTGGAGTAGGGCGACCTTTTCTTCTTACCTCCCCTTTTCTGCCTGCTTGAAAAAATATTTTCTTCAGAACTGTTTTTGCCCAAGGGTAAAAAGAAACTTCCTCTTGATTCCTCGTGGATGCAACATCAGTCTGCATTCCCACTTGGCTTTCATGGGTAGCTCAGCCTAGTGGCCTTGTGTTTGGTGTACCTGGCCTGCGTGGCTAGTGTTCATGGAGGAGCAGCTGGCCCTACCTGTGCGGGCCATTCCTCCAGCAGTGTAGCAGTGTGCATCTTGCTGTGTCTTCCTTTTATACCCTTCCAGTCTGCTGCAAGTCATTCTGGCAGAGCATGGAAATTGCTTTTCACGATTAGGGCTAGCTATTTGCCCTTCTGTCTTTCTGAGCTTCCTGAAAAGCTCTTACAGGTACGGTAAACCTCATGGCAAAATTTGTTTTGGCAATTAATTGGGGACCATCACAGATGTTCTTCAAAATCCTCTATATTTGCTTATTGAAGTGTTATAGGTGTTGCACTCAGTAGAAGTTTTTAAAATCTGGATGGCCTTGTTTGTCTCTGCTTAAATTGTGTTGACTTCTAATGTTTGTCAGCTTATGGCTTTCTTATATAAAGGAACAAAATAGTAGTGTCGCACCTCTTAATGTATTAACTGTAAACAGGATTGTCCTGACTGAAAAGTGCTCTCTCCTGTGCTGAAGGAAGTTAATTTGGCGTTGCTTTTAATGGATATTAATTAAAACATATGCTATATTGAAAAATTTAAAATTATTGAATATTGCTGTTAGCATACCTACATGAAGATGACAAGGGGATTTTTTTCTGTCACAGGATTATTGACCAAAATTCACGTAATGTGATGAAACCTTTGTTTTGTCAAGAGAGGGTTTTTCAGTGATAGGAGCCATTTTTCTGGAAATTATTCAACCAAGCTGCACGTAACAAAAATTATAGGAATTGGAAATGTTACCTGAGAAATACTAGAGTGCTTTACCCTAGGTATAAGGAGAATAGTTTGTTTTTTCTCTCTAATGCCTAGCTGATTAAATACAGCCTTGAACTCCATAGGTGGGGTAAGAAATTAATTCATTCAAAACCTTTGTTTGGAAACAGAAAATTGCAAACCTTTATCTAGAAAGTGGCTCTAGTGAGCTCAAACATAATGCATTACTATTTCAGAAATCTAAATTTCTGAATTTCGGATACATCTAAAAACTGAAGGTGGCTGTAGAAGCAAGCTATACGTTGCTGATCTAGGAGCTGTTACCACAAATTAAAAAAAGGTGGAAAACGTAGAGAGTCTCCTGTCAGATAATCTGTCTGTATAATGTAAGTGCTGTTCATGGGAGCCGAAGTATTTAACATTCTTCAATTTGTCTTGTTTACTGTTGGCAGGCGGATTC